AAGTCTTTTTCCTTACTCTATGTCAATTCAGTAAAATCATGTTATTTATATCAAATTGTGTTATATAAAATCATGTTGCTTAAAATTGTTAAATTTTATGAGCTGCTTTAAACATGATTCAGTGTTGAATTTGGCCAAATATCTTCTGCACCTAGTTAATTTTCTTCTTAATCTATTAATGGGATATGTTCTAACAATCAATTTCCTCATGTTGAGCCATCCTAATATTTCTGAAACAATCATACTTCATTATGGTGTATTACTATTTAGTATCTAATAATTTATTTAGGATTTTTGTATCAGTAATCACATATGATACATGTCTATAGCTTTATTTATTGGTGAAATCTTTGTTAGCTTTTTGGATCAATATTATGGTTGCTTCATAGAAAGAACTGAACATTTTCCTTCTTTTTTATGTGATCAGGAATAGTTTCAGTAACATTGAGATAATCAGATCTTTAAAGGTTTCAGTGAGTTTCCTGTGAAACCATCTGAACCTGGAACTCTTTTGTGGGGAAAGCCTTTAGCCACTTTGCTATTTCTTCCATGGTAATGGAAGTGTTTCATTTTTCTATATGGGGATCATATAGAAAATTTTCAGGGAGGAAAAGAAAGGAAAAGGAGAGTTAGGAATGGTTCCCATTTACCTAAATTGGCCATTTTCCCCTCTCCTTCTTTTTCTTAAGGTCTTGAGGGTACCTTAGCCCTAGAGCCTCTTTATAGAAATGGCTGCCCTCCAGAACAACTCTCTGAGGATTGTGCTGGTGGGGAAGACTGGCAGTGGGAAAAGTGCCACAGCAAATACCATCCTTGGGAGAAAAGAATTCAAATCTAAGATTTCTGCCCACGCTGTCACCAAGAGATGTCAGACAGCTTCCCGGACATGGAAGGGGAGAGAACTTCTTGTTGTTGACACCCCGGGGCTCTTTGACACCAAGGACAGCCTGGACATCACCTGCAGGGAAATCAGCCGATGTGTCCTCCAGTCCTGCCCCGGGCCTCATGCCATTATCCTGGTTCTTCAGTTGGGCCGCCACACGGATGAAGAGCAGAAAACCGTGGAGTTGATCAAGGCTGTGTTTGGGGACTCAGCCATGAAGCACATGATAATCTTGTTCACGCGCAAAGACGATCTGGAGGACCAGAGCCTAAGTGACTTTATAGCAGATGTGGATGGGAAGCTAAAGAGCCTCATTCAGGAGTGTGGAGACCGCTACTGTGCCTTCAGTAACAGCTGCAAAACAGCCCAGGCTGAGAAGGAAGCCCAGGTGCAGGAGCTGGTGGAGCTGATAGAGAAAATGGTGCAC